AAAAAAAAAAAAAAAAAAAAAAAGACTATCTCTGGGTGTTGGATTGCAGGTTATTTATTTATTTATTGGCACTGGAGATCGAACTCAGGACCTTCTGCTTGTGAGGCAGGAGCGGTGCCACTGAGCTAAATTCCTGGCCCTGATTATAGGTTATTTTAAACTTCTTTTACTTCTCTATACTTTCCTACATTTCTCCAAGTGTCTGAAATGTGCAGCTAGTAATCAGCAGAAAAATGCTGGAAAGAAGGAACACAGGTATAAAAAAAGTGGAAGTTAAGAGGTCAGGCAAAACTTTCTGGAGGGCAGCTTCCATGGGTCCTGGGTGAGACCAGCTAGGACTTAGAGCCTCACCCAGGGGCTTTTTAACAGGCACCTGCAGATGGGGCACAAGTGGCTGCCCCACTTCTACCACAGCCCTGCTAACTGACCAAGCCCACATTTCCCCCATCCTGGAACCAGTTCAAAACCCTACTCAGTGAGTCCGGACAGCTGCTAGCAACATGGACTGGGGCTGTTAGGATCCCCATTCTAAGGATCCAACTATCTGCCCCCACCCCCTCCTCTCTGCCTCCACCTGCAGGAGCTGGTGCTGACTGATGGGTGGGACTCAAGGAGGAGAGTCCTGTTTTGGGCTACTGATGTAATACATTCACACCAGGCAGATCCCCCTTGGTTGAGACAAAGGGGAACTCCCCAGCTGGCCCCTGGACTATGAAAATCTTCCTTTAGAGAAGTGAGCTTTGGCCAGCTTTCTGAGAGCCCATAGAGAGGCCAGAGCTAGGACATGGGCAAACAATGAACAGTGCTGGGGAAACCCCAACCAGCTCTTAGCCCCCAGGGCTGGGAACAAAACTCTGGGGACTCAGAAAAGGGAAGGAAACAACAGGAAGTGGCCTTGGGGAGTGGGGCTGTGTCATAGTCCTTTACTAGTGGGGCAGGGTGAGGACACTTACCGCTCCTGATGAGTGCTTTCCCCAGATAAAGCAATTCAGTACGAAGCAGATGCCAAAAACCACACCAGGGTACAGTGTTGCCGTCTGGTAAGAAGAGGGGCCAGGTTGGGAGCCGTATCCAGGGAAATCCCTGCTTCAACCCTTCCTTGTTCTTCAGGTAAACTCATCTCAAGAACCACTCTTTCCTATAAGCATTCACTGACCCAGACTAGGTAGGCCTTGGGTTTATCAGATCCCTGAAACTGTACCTCTCTTGCTTCCATCCCAGTGTGTAAATACAATTGTCCCCAGCTTATGAAGGTTCTACTGATTTCTTTACTTTCTGATAATGTGAAAGTCATATAAATTCAGTAAACTGTACTATGACATTTGGTAAGTTAGGTACACTAAATACATTTTCAACTCAGGATATTACCGACTTACAATAGAGCCCCTGGGATGTAATCTCACCCTAAACTGAGGAGCATCTGTATGCACTGTACTATCTGATCAAAGGCTTCCTCTCTTCAGTACACTGTAATGTCCTTGGGAAGACTGAATCTACCATGTTCTCTAACGTACTCCCACCAGACAACACAGTAGCTACTAAATAAATACTTGTTAGAAAAAGAGCTTCTAAGTATACAAGCAACAAAACTTCTCAAACACGTAGGCCCCAACCCAAACCATGTGAAGTAGTGCTAAGGGTTAATGAGTCTTAGGGATGACAAATGCTGGGCTCTGCATTCTTCAGCTCACCTTATCCTTACTACATGTTTAGAAGAGAAGGACTAACATCATTCTTTTTAAAGACAAGGACACTGAGGCTCAGAGACATTCAGTGTTGCTCTTGTCCCTGGCCCCCATCTTTACAGTTTGCCAAGGGTGGAGCAGAGGTTCAAATCCAGGCAGCCTTACACTAGAACCCACCTCCTGACCTAGTGTGGTATATACTAGCCTGTCAGAATCTCTTGGGCTGGCATCCAGGCACAGGGAACCACAGCCCCGTATTTACACTTGAGCTACCTTCTTTTTAGGCACTGCCCATGATCACCAAGGCCCACTGCAACCTGGTATCAACCCTCTGCTGCCAGGTTCACTTCTGTCTTATGGCCCCTCCCACCAAACAGCTGGTCCCTGCTCCTACATTTTCCTGTCACTGGGCCTTTATACAGGTACCAGTTTCCTGAGCACCAATGCCATACCAGGCCTTACACTCAGTCCCTTTCTACCCATGCAAACCTGAGGTAGATGTAACTATCACTATTGGAGAGATAGGACAACTGAGGCTCAGAGGGCTGTGCATGACTACCAGACCAGGTAGAAACAGAGCCTGGACTAGGATCTGGCAGCCGTAAACCTGAGGCCCTTCTGCTGACTGCCTCCCTCCATTTGAAACTTTCTTCAAGGACCGGCTCAGATGTCACTTGCTCCTTTCCTTTGTGGTTCTCTTCATTCTGCTGTGTAGCAGGGAATTCCTCATCTGCCTTGCTGGCCAAAATTTATGGTCCAGGTACTACGTTAGATACCAGAAGTATGAACAGGAAAAAACTGCAAGAAGAAGGGACTCAGGGCTCCCTGGCAGGTGAGGTGGCCCCAGACTTCCATTTCTATGGTCTTTTTTGCTGCCAAGATCTTTCCTCATTCCCAGCAGGGGAGGGAAGGGCAGAAACCATCTTCATGGGAGAGCAACAGAGACACCAAATCTGGAAAACAGGCCAGCAGTCACATAAGCCTGGCCTCTCCTGCCCTGGTAGGCTGGTCTTTCTATTCTGTTGGGTGGGGTGTTCTACTGCAGCCTTGTCATCTTTTCTGACAAAATCCTGTCATTGTTTCTGTGTGAATCTTCTAGTCTATCTCCTGCTTGAGTGATCCAAATTTGAACCCCTCATTTTATAGATGGTCCAGGACTGCAGAGGTCCTCACACGAACCTCTGGGTAAGGGCTCTGAACTGCTGATGCCTGGGTGCAAGGTCCTCCTGCTCCTTAACACTGCTGCTCAGTCTCTAGCCTGAAAACCCCATAGGGTCCATCTACATTCGTCCTGGGAAGCCTAGGCAGGAGCTTTTCAGACCCACTGAATGCTTTAAGACACTCACACAGAAGGCTCCTTTCTTCCACCGATGGCCTTTTAGAGTGCGGTACAGACGGCCAGCAGAAAATCCACCAAACACCCTGTGGGAAAAGGGCAGAAGTCGACACCAAGGGGGCCTGTTAATGATGTGAAGGAGGCTTGTGCTGGCCCCTGGGAGCCCACTCTCACACACCTACCCCATGAACATGAAGAGAAAGCAGGCTGTGGTCATGAGAGCTCCCCGGCTGGAGGGCGACAGCATCCCAAGCATGGCCACAACTGTGGGGGTGGGGGATGGCAGAGTCAGACTCAGGGTGGCTGATCACCAGGACCCCAGATCCCACCTGAGCAGGCTGATAGGACTCTGGGCAGAGGAGTTTAGAAGAGGTTCCCTTCTCCTTTGGCCTTCTCAACAACATGGTCCAGTCCCCTATACCGGGAAAGACTGGGTCTTAGGTGGGGTTTAGAGGGGTATGACAGCTGATGGGCCTGACTGGGTAAATTTTAACTGCAGCTTCCAGTCCACAGGGCACTAAATGTGCCTTCTCAACTCTTCAAAGTGGAGATTTTTCTCTATTTCTCAGATAAAGAAACAGATTCAGACAGGTTAAGTTACTTATCTGAGGTCATAAGGCTTGGAGGCATGAGGTTAAGATACAAGTTTAGGCAGATTGACTCTAAAGCTGTCTGTAACTACTATATATTAGTGTTTTTTGTTTGTTTATTTTTGTTAAAGAAAAAAGCCCTAAGTCCAGTACTAAATCTGGTATTGACTTAGGATCAGTCACTTAACCTGACTACAGAAGGCAGCCAACTGCACAGTGTGATGTGGCTGCATAGATAGGGTGGACATGGTGGGCTCAGCATTTCCAGGGGCTAGGGCTACTGCTGGGACAGGTAGCTGTTTAGCCCCGAGAACCTGACACATCTGCTTGGTGCAAGTGTTTGGCCATTCTCCAGGGAGGGAAGCCCGCCTCTTCTCGAGATACATGGAGAGATAGCCATGTGTCAGGGTCAGACAGGCCATGCTCCTCTGGGTCCCTGACCAGCCAACCATGCCACTCACAGATGACAATGAGGATCATACAGAAGAGCTGAATGCCTGACCCCAGCAGGGAGCTGAGGATCATGGGGTACTGCGGTGGCCTGAAGACGTCACCATGTACCAGCTTCCACCCAGATTCCTCCATAGTGTCTTCCTGCAGCAAAGGGCCAGAGAGTGAGGCAGATTTGTGAGGATGGGGACAGCTCCTGCAGGGACCACCCTCCAGGGCCCAGGTCTCCTGAGGGTCCCTCAGATGTCAAACAGGTCTGCTGAGGAAAGGAGGCCACAAACACACTTGTAGCTATATAAAAAGAAAATCTCGCCAATTCCACAAACCTAGTGGGAAGAAAAATCATGTAAACACATCAATGTTAATTTAGTAGTTCTTGGGTGGTGAGATTCAGAAGCTATTTATTTTCTGATTATACAAGAAATATGCATTTGCATAAGAAAGTTTAAAAATTTTGTTATTTGTCATGAAGTTGAAATGAACAAAAAAACCCAAACGTTTCATGTAGAAAAATTTAAAAATATAAAAAGACGAAAAATAAGATAATGAGCTATACTGGAGCAATGTTTATAACATAAAATGAGGCCAATATTTTACTTACTTTAGTCTTTTAGGTATGTTCATGTGCCTATGTATATGTTTTAAATAATAAAATATGGATATTAGTTATTTCAGATGATGTTTGTGAATATTTTTTCATGTTTATAAATACTCTTTGAAATTTTATTTCAAAGCTGGGATTTTTTGGGGGGTGGGGGTTACTGGAGATTGAACTCAGGACCTTACACTTGCAAGGCAGGAGGCAGAACCACTAAGCTAAATCTCCGGCCTTGGGATAAATATTTCTAAGACTTAGTTTTTGGATTTTTGATTCTTTCCTTAGGAAAATCCTAGAAGAATTGCTGTGCCAAAGCAAGTTGCCTATTTTACAGTTCTTGAGATGAACTACCAATTGATTTTCAGAAAACTGACAATTTAACCTTCCATGGGGGTAATTTGGGAAAAATGCTTGTCTGCTATTAACTTGGCCAACAATTAGTACTATTAAAAACAAAACATGGCCAGAGATTTATTTAGCTCAGTGATTCCACCACCTGCCTCTCAAGTGCAAGGTCCTGAGTTTGATCCCTGGTACCAAACCAAACCAGTCTGTGATAATTTGATATTCCAAATGATTGCATTTTAGGAGGTTATCCCTGAGGTAAAAACATTTTTTTCAGATGCATACTGGCCACATGTAGTTCCTTACTGTAAATTTTCCATTCATTACATTAGTAATTTAAAATTTTTTATTTTTTAAAAGAAAATTTATATAAATTCTTTTAAAGGTTATGTTTAAGTTTGTTAGAAATATACAATTCATTTTTTTAAAAAACAATATGAAGACTTTATTTTTTATTTTTATTTTTTTGGTACCGGGAATCGAACTCAGGTCCTTGCGCTTGCAAGGCAGGCAGTGGAACTGCTGAGCTAAATCCCTGGCCCTTCATTTTTGTTTTACTTATAAATCTGACATGCAGAGTAGTTTTAACATTTTTAATGCCATATAGATTCTCTTTCTGCAACTTCTATTGCATCTGTACTTGAGACTAGAAACCTATCACTCTGGGTGATTAAAGATTTTTTTCTCCTTTTCAGTATTACTGAAGTTATGAATTATCTCACACACGCACACGCACACGGGTCTGCTAAACTACTCTCCCTCTCCCAGGCCATCCCTCCCCAGCCAAGACCTCATACAATGTCATCTTCTTTGTTATAGTTGGCAATGTCCTTCCGGAGGGTCCGAATAATAATCATGCTCAGGATACCTGAAACAGACATAGGTGGAGAGGAAGAGCTGTAAGCCAAGAGTCCATCGTGCTATATCCTCCTCTAATAGGACCTGGCCACACAGCTACCTAATCCTCTCCTGGGCAGAACCCCACTCCAGCCAACTGAGGACAGATGTGCAGAAAGAAAGGACTGCCAGGATGGAAGGGGACAGGCACAGAACACTCTTTTTATGTCAGGAAGAAAAGCATCCTAGCTCTTCTATGGCTGGTTTGTTGCTTTTACCTTTCTTCTCCTGCCCTGACTGCCTCCTATGCATGCGCTAATAAGACTCACACTTTGCATCTTTGGTTCAGAGACAACTTTTTCCCACATTTGTCTTCTACTTGCCTACCTCTCTAGGGACAGCAGTGGTTAGGAAAACAGGCTGTGTGACTCACTTAAACTTTTGGGGGCTGAAGGACTGAGATGTCTGTAAAATGCTTAGGACAGCAGCGGGGGCTTTGGTAAATGTTTACTGAACAGTACCTAGCATTATCTTTGTGTGTCATCATACTGGAACCACCAGCTCACTCCACCCGTCCACAACACTCTTGCCATGGAGCTTCCTGTCAAGCTTGCCTCTCTGTGGCAGGACTGTGACCCTTATTGGAATAGTCCTTCCTCCTTATTCAGAGGCCTTCCCTAAAGTAGCCTTCTCCTTTTCTTCTACTGTTGTGTATCTGGTCACTCCATTTATCTGCTCCCAGAACTTGTCACCACCTGGAACTATGCTTCTACTTGCTTTTTGGTTTCTCTCCCATTACTAGTTTATAGATTTTGGGCACAGGGGACAGACACTGGATTGGTTTGCTCAACACCATATCCCTAGCATCTAGCACAGAAGGAGCAACAATGGGCTGGGGTGCAGCTCAGCGATACAGCACTGGTCCAGGAATCCCTGACACCCCCCACCAAAGCAATAATAAAGTGTTGAATGACTCAATGAACGTGGGAATCAAGAATTGTATCCATCCTTCTCTGGTGAAGTTTCTAGAGACCCAATCTTGTCTACTTCTGTCCCTTGATGCCTGCAACAGGGTCCTGAAGTCTGGCCCTGAGAACGTCTTAGAAATCCCTATAAGTGATGGGATGTCTCCGTTCTTCACACCACCTCTCTGTCCTCTCCACCTTTCAACCCACAGTGCTCTCACCTGATAGAAAGAAGACCACCACGACGGAGTTGATGATAGAAAACCAGTGGATCTGCACGTCACTCATGGTCAGGTAAGTGTCCCAGCGAGAGGCCCATTTGATGTCACTTTCCTGGTGAGGTGGGAGGAAGCCTTTGAGAATCAGGCCTCCTGCTCTTGAATCCTGGCCTAGATCAGACCTCTCCCATCCCACCCATGAGCTCGTGTCTCTTCTTACCTCCCAGTGAACAGAGTAGGTGAAGTACAGCTGATTCTCCTTGGTGGGGTCAATTTCCTGGGGTGAGGAGTTGGTACCCTCAGGCAGAGTACATGAACTCTTCTCATCTGCTTTGAGGTCTGTGAGAAACAGAGACTCTGTATGCCCATGGTGGCCAGTGCCACCACTCAAGGCTGTTCCGCAGATACCATGGAGGATGCCTGCTGTTAGGCCCTGGTCTCTGGGTTCTGAGTGGAGGCTGGGAGCATAGTAGGCAAGAAAGGCTTTTAAAATTGTATTTCCCAGAGCCCTGACCTTCCAGAGAGCCTTCAGGACACCAGATAGGCATGTGTGGGGGGTACGGAGGGAGAAAACAGTCTGAGTTCAGACCTCCTTCATGGCATTCGATCTCAACATGAACTCATTCACCCAGGGCCATTCAAAATCCATCACATCCAAGGTCATTCTTTACTCTTTCGTACAGGTGGCCTCTGGTACTTTAGTAATCAATCATGCAGGTTCTTTCCCTTTTACTTATTTGTTTCTGCTGCCATCCAGCCCCTTCTTTCAGCCAGCAAATATACAAGTACCAAACTATGTGGCAGGTATTGTGCTGGGTGCTGGAGACAAAATGGTGAGAAAAGGAGACAGAGATTCTAATTTTAATCAGCCACCGTAGAAGCACAGATCTCAAAATAGTCACATACATAAATGTAAACTGTGCTCATGACGCTCACAGAAGGACAAGCAGCATGGTGCTTTTAAAGTATGAGATCTGTTTTATGAAGCTCTTGTGTATGATTTTGTTTGAAAGCTACATTCCACAGATTTCTGAAAAAGCCAGAAAATCCCCACTGTGGACAAAGGACAGACCTGCAGCTTAACTGAGGAACACCCTGTGACAGTGAGGGTAGAGAGGAAAGAGGAAGCAGGGCAGGCCGTATGAAGTCTGGCTGGGCTCCCAAACTCACTCAACTGCTGACCTGGGCAATTTTAGTCTGTGCTAGTCACTCATACATAGGGACTGAAAAGGCACTTGCTTGGCTGGGGATTTAGCTCAGTGGCCGTGACTATCTTGAAAGCACAAGGTGGTGAGTTCGATCCCCAGTACCAGTAAAAAAAAAAAAAAAAAAAAAAAAAAAAAAAAAAAAAAA